CTTCTCTGGAGACATTCAAAACTCGCCTGAACGTGAAACTCTGCAACCCAGTCTAGGTGATCCTGCTCTGGCATGGGGGTTGGAGTGGATGATCTTTCGAGGTCCCTTCCAACGCCTGAGATTCTGATTGGAGCCTTTGTGCTTCCAAAACAGCTGCAGAATTTTTAATCATAAAAACCAATCAAAGACATGAAGGTGGGTATCATTCATACATTTTACAAGTCTAATTTTCAATGGAATCTTGTTTCAGTTGTGAAAAGGAAATGCCATGTGTGCAAATGGTACGTATTAATCAACTCTTCAGTTTTTCATCAGAGCAATGGAAGCAACTGCCATAAATAATTCTACATCTGAATCCAAATGGTGCTGTCATAAGCAAAATGACAAATAGATCTTCATTTCATAGATTTTCAAATTTCAGCCTCCATGTGGTTCATTCACAGGTGTATAGACTAACATTCGGAATAAACTGGAGTCTGTTTTTCTGCTTTTATTTTTACCTTGTTTTCATCATAATAAAATCAAAAGCCTACCTACAGCTATTCATAATAACAGTCCAGATGCTGCTATCATTTGCCCTAGCATAAATGCAATAGCAGTGCAAAACCTACAGACCATTAGTATCAATACTACTATTCTCATTGCACTTCTGCAGGCCTTTGAAGGTCCCAGAGTTCTGTTACTGTAAGTGTTTTTCATAATGAAATACCAAAAAGTGCTGAACAATTTGAGTGAACAAATACCTGCATCTTCCAGTATTTGCTTTTTATTTCTAAATAGCGCTTGGGAAGGAAAAATTTATAACGGGGTTCTGTCCCTATTCTGCGCATACCCACAGCAATATATACTGCCTGTCCTCCTTTTTTCCTAATGTAATGAGGAACACATTTTATTCTCTCTGGCATCAAAATCCAGCTCAGAAAGAGGAGCAAAGGCAAGCACCCCAGAAGATGGCAGATTTGAGCGTTGCCAACAGCCTTTAAAAAAGCCACCTGAGTCATTCATCTGCTTTCAGCCTGCACATTCCAACAAATACAGACTCTGTATTTAAGGAGATATGCATTTGCCACTACAAACAAAATGTACTGCAAGTCTTTTTCAATAAAGATAAATGACTTGAAACCTGTCAGATGTTAAAAAAAAAGCATCATTTGGAAAAAATTCTTAAACATTACAAAAATGCATTGAACAATTTTAGTCTTTGGACATAAAATACACAAATATATATATATGAAAATTTTACCAAAACACCTGATCAAAAGGGGCAAGTGTTTGATACAATTTGCTTTCAGCCATATCCCAATACAGCTGTTTTAACAGAGGTAGATATCTGAGTAACATTACTTATAATCAATGGCTAAAATTCAGAAACAATTACGTATCTTACTTGATACATATAGTGTGTTAGATATGGTATGTTATACATAGTATATTTGATGCTTATTCACAGGAACATTTACACAGGAGTTGCTACAAATAAAAGTGGCAGAATCTGGAGGTTTTCTTACTTTACTGTAGAAGTTTCCCAGGTATTATAATACATCACCTTACTCCATGCCTAACTTTGACCAAATGGTGCAATACAGAAAAATTAAAAACAGATGTGAAGTGCAGTTAGTAAATATTTACTAAATATGCATGGACTAACAACTGCTGTATTGTATCAATGGTAGCAAAAACTCTTACAGTGAAAGTTGCACTACATAAACCCACTTAAAGTTGTAGAATGCTATGGATAGTATATTATTAAACTTATAAGAAATAGAGTAGAAAACTATGCTCAAGCAAAATGCTTTAGGAGATTAGCCATCATCATGCTTGTTTGTTTGTGAGCAACTTAATTTTAAGAAACAAATGACTAGATGATCTTTCAAGGTCCCTTCCAACTCCTAATACTCTGTGATTCTGTGATGTCAGAACCGGAGACTTATTACTAGTACTGGTCCAATCACATGTGCACAAAGATAATCAAGATTATACAACATCTTAACATTTAATGACAGACTGCTGAGATTTTGAAGCTGTGAATGATATCAAGGTGGAATTTGTTTCTCTGTATTTCTCTGTATACAGCTGCTAAATTTCACCTAAAGAAGAAGAAAACTACCCATTCCATTATAAGGAATGAAAGATCATGGGAATGGTGCCAGTATGTACATAAACTCCACAACCCAGCAAAGAAATATTTCTTTATGACTACCACAAGTTTTGGGATTAATTGCAGCAAACTTAATCTTATATCCAATTAATAAATTGAGAAACACTCACCATGATTCCAGTGAGTAAACAGACTCCTTTCCCGCAGTATGTATTAGGTACCATGTCACCATATCCAATGGATAGAAAAGTTATTGAAATCAACCACATTGCTCCAAGGAAGTTGCTAGTAACATCCTGCTGATCATGGTACCTGAAAAGGAAAACAATTTGTTTATAGTGAAAACTTTTTTTAAACTTTTGTGCTGTCAGAAAGAAATGGCATTAACTGGCCATACAACCATTCTTGTATTCTATAGTTATTTCCTTTCTAAAAGCAGCTATAAAGAATTAAATAAAACTTAACCACAATTACATCAGCAGCAACAGAAAAAAGAAAAGAAACAGAAGGTACAACAATAGTACCAATAGCAGAGATATTCAGAATGGTTTATAATTCAGTATTCTGTAATTATTATTAAAATAGCAGAAACCTTATTTTTTAATAGATTCTCTTCATTGGGGTACAAGTCTTGCAGCAGCATAGACCCCACTGGTCTAATATAGTTGCTGCAGTCTGAGACAAATATCAAAGTCAGAAAAGGATGTGTGGGCAAGCAGACAGCAGAGCACATCTCCATCTCCTTGGCCCAAATGCAAGTCTGTGATCAGAAATCTAATCATGAACTATCATGTAAATGCTGTCTTAGACAACCTAAGATCTTCCCTCTCCTTCAACATGTTCAAGATAAAGAGAAGTATACCATTGTTTTTCTCATAACCAAAAGATAAATATAGCAAAGTGAATACAGCAAAACCTCCCTTTTGCATTAAGTCAGCTATTACATATCATTTCCTGATGTGCCATTTGTTGCTTAGTTTTAATATTCTAGTGGAATATGTTAATTTTCTCCTTTAAAGAAAACAAGTTCAGATTAATCACAGAATCACAGAATGGTAGGGGTTGGAAGAGACCTCTGGAGATCACCTAGTCCAAGCTCCCTGTTACAACAGGTTCATCTATAGCAGGTGGCACAGGATCACGCCCAGGCAGATTTTGGGTATCTCCAGAGGAGATGACCCCACAACCATTCCCGTAGATTAGAATAATCTAGTCTTCGCATGACATATATACCTAGCCAATTGGGAAGCCATAAGGACACATTCTAGGGCTAAAACCTGTTGTCACCACACATTGTGTAGGGCAAAAATGCCTAATAGCTTAACATAGATGGAATTTTGCTCCAGGAACAGAGTAGCTCTGCAACAAAGACAATCTATGGCAGCCACTGCAGCCTCAAGGTTGCAATAAAACCCCTGCAGCTGCTGTGAGAAGCCTGAGGTTAACTACCTATGGTGCTGGATCCTCAAGGGTATTATTTTAGCCAGTCTCTAAATCTGTATCTCACAGTAGGTCACAAAGGTCACAGAGGGCTATTAGGGAATTAGTCCACAAACCCATAAACAACCTCCTTTCCACAACTGAAATAATTGCTACAGTTTTCTTCCTTTCCAGACCGCAGTGTTCACAACTGAGCA